AACATGGAGGATGTACAGTGAGTGTGTGTGTACAGTACGCGGACATGTTAGCAGCTTTTACAGTGAGTGCTATGGTACAGGTCTGTTTGGATAGTGGCCCAAAGTTTAAATTCATAACCTTGTCAATTACGAACATTTTTATATGTTTTAGGCTTCAGAAGAACAAAATTAAATGAATCTACTATGATTGTATGGTAATTATTAACATTTTGTTCATTGACATGCTATACTGTCTTACATAGCAGAGTTCAGGGGTCACCAAACTTTTTTCTCTGGGGGCCACATTATCGCTCCTGACTGTGATGGGGGCTGGGGTTTGGTAGACTGTAACAGAACTGCATGACCGTGTTGAAGCAGATTATATTCTTTGAAAATTGCCACACTTTCTTTACATATCAAACAAACTGCACGGTCCTTGCGCTGAACAAAAAATAATTGGTCGTCCAGTGTTTTTTGAAAACTCAGCGCATTCTGTCAAGTTTTTGTACTTTAACACTCGCCATTTTGCTGTTCTTAACTGCATCACAGTACTTTCTGTGTGCATTGACTGTCACTGTTTGACCTCGAGCTTGACAGGGGACAAAAATGTGGCAGCAAATTTGGTGGCAAATGTAAATACGTCATATAATTATTTAAATATAAAACTTCATATAAATATCATAATTTTATTGAAAAAAATCAACAAAATACAACATGCCGACATGTTATTATTTGCCAAAAAGTAATTGATTTAAAAAAATAATAATATAATAAAAAAAAAAATAAAAATATAAATAAATATATATATATATATATATATATATATATATATATATATATATATATATATATATATATATATATATATATAGGCCATGACAACTTCATGAGGATTGCCTCATAAGGCAAGTTCAAGTGTTGGGGGGCAGAAGGGCTGGGGACCAGTCAAAAGGGCGTGGCGGGCCAGAGTCGGCCCGCGGGCCTTAGTTTAATGACCCCTCCCTGCTTTAAGGAGCAGATTTCTTTGATTAAAAATACATATGAATAAATAAAATTATAGTATTGTTATAGCTGTTACATTTTTCATGTATATAGTTAATTATATAGATTATAATTACTGTTTAAATTAAGATAGTCTTAATAATAGTCTCACGTACATTATTTAGTTAGTTAGTTAGTTAGTTAGTTGCTGACCCACCAACCAGGGGGTCAGCAGGTCTGAACATGCTGTTTGTGCCATACTGTTTTTGTATCCATGAGCAAGACACTTCACCCAAATTTGCCAGTTACAATAGTTGGATATTTGCAAAAAGAATGGCAACCAACATAGCCATTTGTTTTCACTGTTTTGTGTGTTTAATGTAAGATATGGCTTTGAGAAGAAAAGCAGTTATCACGACATCATCAGAACCTTTAAATGTAAATTAGTCCTGTTAACAGATACATATTTTAAATTTTTGACTATGAAGGTTTAACAACTAAATTACAACAGCATTAAGATCAATATTAACTAAATGAACCAAAGTAGAAACGTTGACTTTTTTGGGACATGAAAACAGACCTGTGCCGGATCACCCATACCATAGCACTCCAGGCTTTTTGGGAGGAGGGTCCCTTATTGTGAGTAAAAACTTCTTTGCTGCTCTATTGCTTTGAGAAAACTTGGGTTTGAGCCTTGAACAGTGGAAAACATGCTGTGAAAATGTCTCTTTAACACCAGTCATTTTCAAATTAGTAAAACCATTTGTGCTCAAAGATAAAGCACCTAACACAGGGAAAATGACTTTGTGCTCACATCAAAGACCCAAACATGGTCAGAATATTCTACGAACAATTGCTCCTGTGTTTTGATAAGACCTCAAAGTAAATAAATGAGGAATATTGCAGGATGAATATTAAATTTTCAGCCCTAGCTTCAGCCCTTATAAACACGGGGTTGATTATCCGTGGTGCTGTGTGAGCGCTGATAACCGAAGTGAAAGGGCAAGGCATTGTGGGAGCTTGATTATGGGCTGTGAAAAGTGGACATATGCTAGGTGCTAAGCTCAGCCATATTTAGCCAGATTAATGCTTCATCAATTAGCGTAGGGTGATGGTGCTCTGAAGGACAGTGTGGTAATCAAATAGTCTCAGTTGTTAATGATTCACACTGGGCCTAAGGGAGCAGGTTTTTACATCGTAAGCTCATTTCTACTGGATATACCGTGTACAGAAGATATCATGTGTGCTATATTGCTAAATCAACAGATATGTGGAATAAATACATTTTTTAATACTTCCAGTAGAAATTATAATTTATTGGTTTTACATATTTATCAGATTTTAAATGCAAATTATGTTTTTTCGTGATAGCAACATCTGTAAACAATTGCTTTGCGAATTGTTCACCTCAAAGTTACTTCACAGGGATTTCAGTACTTCAGGAACTGTTGGGAATTGTACTAAAGCATCCTTGTATCGATCCCTGAATTGCCAAGAGTCTGGAGCACTAGACTAGTAAGTGGATGTTCTAGTTCAGACTTTGAAGATCAAATGATTTTCCATTTGAAATTGTAATGTGAATATTTTTAAGTTCATCCATTGAAAACTACTTCTGATCTCAGACTTAAAGGGTTCTCACACAGCCCAATGCAAAGGTGAAACTGTTTTTGCTCAAACCTAAAAATTAAACCTAAAAATGCTCCAAAGTCTAAACAAACTTGATACAGATGATGAACTGTGAATTCAGGAACAAGAATATACGAATAACTCTTGTCTTTTAATTCTAAGAAGTACGATTAAAGGTGCATTGTGTAACTTTTCTAGTGATGGGTCCATCAAATACTTTTCTCCATTGAGATGTTTCACTTGGAATGTTTCACAGTATTATAGTATTAAACCTTTCTGCCTTCATGGAGACCAAACTGGGCCAAGTTACTGGTCAGATCTATGGAGAGGTGACCCTGCTCACAGTCAGAATGCAGAATGTTTTTCAATGTATTTTTGAGGTATAAAACCACCTGTAACTGAATAAATGTAAGGCAGAGCTGGTTAATGTCTAGGGGTGTAACGATATCCAAGTCTCATGATACGATATCGTCACGGTATGAACCTCACAATATGATATTTATTGCGATATCGTGGGAAAGCTCACGATATGGTGGGGAGGCTCACAATTAGAGATGTAACTTATATTTTATATTATCATGATATACATCTCACTGTACGGTATTTATTGCGATATTTTGTGGAGGCTAACAAAACTGTTAATATGGTGCTTTTTCCTCTTAAAATGTCTTGACAAGACTTAATCCAAAGAACTAAGACTTAAAAGTGCTTAGAACTGTTATTTCTTCTTGTAGTCTTCACTGAAATGGAGCAAAGGATCATGGTCTATGTAGTTCCCTCTGTCTTTTTTAAAACTGTTGCTGCACCATAACTCTTCATTTAAGCAAAGAGACTTGTAATTCGATATATTGTGATGGTCCAAGATATTATTGTAAGAACTTTGACAATACAATATCACAATATTTCTGTTGTTATTGTTATTGTCAGTTATTAATGTCATACTGTGGAACATTCCAGGCAGAGCAATGGCATATCCATAGAAACAAGCAGGTGATGGATCCCCAATGAAGAAATTACATAGTGCACCTTTAGACGAGATGAATGTACTAATCAAAATCATTCCAGTATTTATTCCACAGTTCTGTGCTAGCTGGTTGTATTTGATTCAGGGGACTGGGTTACATTTGGCAGCGAATGTGAGGCCGACCCAAGTTTCCTCAAAACCACACTTCCATTTCGATGTCAAATATACTCTCTTTCTTCCTCCCTGACCCTGAATCGTGTCATTCACTTTGATCCAACCACAAAGTGACCGATCTGTTGTGCGTCTGTGTGTATATTTGTGTATTTGAGTGTGTGTGTGTGTGCGAGGGAGGGGGGAGAGAGACGATGTGCACAGAAATTCTAGGATATCTGTTCTCTATTAGAATGTTTCAGGTAGGGCAAGCCTCCGACGGAAAGGAAAAACAGAGGTACAAACAAGAGAAGAAGAGTAGAGAGGAGGAGGAGGAGGAGAGGGGGAAAGGCTCTGTTGCAGGTTTATAGTCTGCTACATTTCACAGTATCTTGGCTGAAAGCATCTTTGCTCTCGGAAGAATCTCAAAATGTATCCAGTGTCAGAAAAGGACGCACACAGCAAGAGGAGGTCAACCAGGTACAAAACGGATACATTTTGAAGCATCAGTGCGGGCAACATGAGGCTTGATACTAATTGAGTAGTTTGGCTCTCCACCGAATGCTGAGAGCCCAAAATTAGTATCAACGCTCGCTCATGTCTGCGACCAGTGGCCCCATAGCTAAGTGTAACTTGCATTTCTCAGAGTTGGGGACTATATGAAGAAGAGGGTTAACTGAGTCTAGAGGGAAGGTCTATCCAGTTACAAACGTTAAGAAAAACATGCTAAATCTATCTATATATCTATATAAACAATGCATTTACTACAGTTCTATAAAAATGATACTTAGGCCATTACTTTATTTATTATTGCAGTGATTAATTATGGGCCAAAGGGTTACACAATTCCTACTGACTGTCGATATGGTGTAATATGACTACCTCAAACTTCTTGTTGGGGGACCAAATCAAAGTAACTGATTCATTTTTTCAGTCTAAGAGGCTGTTTGGGGATTGTATAATGTAAAACTGAACATAAATTAATGGTCAAAACCTGGTCAAAAACTGTTTACGTCCTATCTCCTCTCCATACACTACACTAATGCATCTACTCCACATGTCAATGCATCCATCTCCAAAATCTCAACTTCACTTTCCAGTATTCTACGTTCACTACTCCCCTAAAATAACCCTAAAAATACTGTGGCTACAAAGGTGGGGTCTTTGAAGTTACACTTGAAGCTCCCATGGGACCTGATGCTAAGAGGAAAGACTCCTCTGCAGCAAATCAAAGAAAAGAAGAAGAACTAGACCAAGTAAAGAGCAAGCACAGGGCGCACACCCATCCCACCTGCATGTCCAGAATCGCACTCCTCCAGGTCCTCGTCGTCGCTTGAACACTCCGCTGAAGAGACAATGTCATCTGTCGTCTGTGGAAATATAAAAACAGGAAATTAAATTAGGTTAGGTTAGTTTATTTGCGAGTTAAAGATCATATATTATACAAAACTGACTCTTGTGAGCTTTTAGCCATATTACAATGTCATTATCTCATCAAAAACAAATCTGGAGTTGCTGTTTGTTTGAGCAATTCTTTATTATTAGTCTGTCTACGTCTCCAAAGCTTAAAACGCTTGTGATGTCAAGTAAAGTTTTCATGTTAACAGCTTCAAAACTTTACATTTTGTTCAGTAAGGATTGGCAATTCTGGTGCTGAAATTATCCAAATAATTCTAGTGAAGGTGTATGCAGTAGTTTAAAAACACAGTGGAGCACTTCCTGTATAACCACATGACATCACAAAGCGTCTTTTCAGTTAGAGAGAAGAGTTTTTGTGATAAACATGTATGAATGAAACAACTCCAGGTAGGTTTTTGATGTAGAAACAACATTCTAACATAGATCAGAAAATAGTGTAATATGGCGCCTTTATAAACCATGTGTGTGAAGCTCAAAGTGCACCAGGAGACATCACCCATACATGTAGTCAGTCTAAAGCCATGCCTCCCCCCTGTGAATAGTGTCAGAAGTTTGCTCCCTGATGTGATGGTAAAGAATCTGCCTGTGGAGCAGCAGGTCACAGGTTCAAGCCCCAGAGGAGAACTTGATAGATCAGGTACTCACACTGCAGATAGTTTGGAAAATAAAGAATACTGAACTAAACAACAGCGGGGAACAAGAAGAGAGTAGTTGAATATAAAAGGGATCGCCATGGTCACAGTTTATCTGCTTCAGTGGTCAATTTATATACCATCAAAGTGTATGGAGGAGGTTAAACTCTTGCAGTCTGTTTATCCTCCCTGTGTAATGGTGGATTCTCTTCCCAATGTTTGTTATATGCATGAAAAAGTATTGGTGTGAATCTAGATAATTATTTAGATCGTAGATAGACTGACAGCACTTACGAACCTCCTGTGCATTTTCAGAGACAGAAAACTAAAAAAAAGCTGTCTTATTTTGTGTATATTTCATTATCTTAATACCTGTTGTACATGTCTATTAACCGGAGCACACACTTGCTGGTCTGAAGCCATTGGCTGCTGGATAACACATGTTAATGCAGTGATTATGAGGTATTTTTATGCATTGAATAAATTACTTTCAACCGTAATTTCACTTCATTCTCTGGAGTGCGAACCCAAGTAATTTAATTCACTCAAAATACATTTATGCGTTGAATTATGTGTTCTTCAATACTACATAGTGCCCAAAGTGGTCTTCCATGAGCACTCAGTCCGATTGTTGCGTCACCATAGCAACTCTTCTCTGAATCAACTTTTGTTTCACTACTTCCACTACCTCCACAGTGTCCTATAACTGATCATATGATCCACTCCTCCTCTACACTGCCCCATGTCTCAGCTCTGGAGCAGGGAAGAGAGAGCGCTCATCTCCCCTCAAGGATATCAGCTCCAGGCCAGGCTCTCCGCTTGTCCCCTGGCCTCCATACATCACCCAGCAGTCCATCATATTTCACAGTGTTTATCATTCTTCACTTTATGTGCTTTCCACCTCCACCGATAATTGTTTTCCTTCACCCCTCGCACCGTGCCTCCCCTTATTTATCGCCCCTCTCGTCTCGCAATCAATGGACCTATAGCAAGAGAGCACCGGTGCAGATTTGTGCTGGAGGGGTGCGAGCTTCGAGGGGGCGGGGGAGGGAGGGGGCACTAAACATGAACCAGCAGCAATGGATTATCTACAGCTTCCAGCCCTGACAATTCTGATTTATCCACCCGCCCCGTGCATGGCTTTCCTTCGGGTCGACCCAAGGAGGACAGCAGGGGTGGATGGCGGATAGTGGTTGGCGGTTGGAGGTAGTGGTGATGTGGGGGGAGTGAGGTTGTATTTCAAACTGTGGTGTGAGCGTTTATTAGAGTGAATCAGCGTGACGATAAAATAAGACAAAATACTGAACTGCCAAATGTTCTCAAAATGCTGCTCATGAAGAAGAGGGGACCAAAGCTAACTTACTCTAGAGTAAGGGTCTGTCCATTTCAAAACAATACAACATATAGTGTAAAGCCCAAACTCAGGAATAAGGCCAACTGCTTCTTGCCTCCATTACTATATCTAATGACTTCAGTCAATAGTTATAATACCCAGTAGGTATAAAAGTTATATTACAAAAAATGTTGTAGTGTGTGCTCTACTTTTTTGTTAGTCCCAGATGACATTCCATTTTAAAGTTTTTAAAGATGTACTTTGTAACTTTTCTGGTAAGGGACCCACCACCTAACCTTGCACAGCAAGATGGATTCTCGCAATATTTGTGAGTTCACAAACTCACAAGAATCCATCTTGGCATGCACCCACTGCTGCCATAGGGCCCGCCAAGTGGTTGGTGCACCAATCACAGAGCAGCATTGAGGTGCGGAAGCCAAAAGAAAAGTGCACAAGTAAACCAAAAGGACAAAGGATGTACTTCAGTCTATTTTAGCTTCAATATTGACCATTTTGTGAAAAATGTGCAGAAGGTAAACACTGTACATTTGTGGACAGGGAAGATGTCTGATGGCTTTTCTCACAACTGGATGTAAGAAAAGTTAGATTTTTCATCTTCTTCTGTTGTTGTAACGCTTCAACCAGTCTGATTGAAATAGTCGTCATGACATTTTGCGTTTTCTGATCGCTTTCAGCAAGAGCCTTCCCAGATTGATAATGTGCAGAACTCAGTTCAAAGTGACACACATACCAATGTGCCGTGAGCCAGGTTACCCGCTCCTGCTTGTCTCCATTGATATGTTATCGCTTAGGATGGAGTCTTCCACTGTATTAAACAGCTTCCAGCCCTGACAATTCTAATTTAGCCATGGCTTTTTCTTCAGGTCGACCCAAGGAGGACAGGAGGGGCTGGAGCTGGGTTGCGGTTCGCGGTTGGAGGTAGCGCTGATGTAGGGAGGGTGAGGTTGTATTTCAAGGCGTGGTGCGAAGGGGCAGCTAGCGTTTATTAGAATGAATCACCGTGGCGATAAAATAAGCCCTGTCATTGCTTTGGGGTTATGAAATCAAGAGTGCTGATTGAGTTTTCCAGCGTTGGCCCGGGCGACTCGGCTCTAAATATCATGCGCAGTGACAGACTAATGAAACGCACCCCACATGCTCACACTGCAGCAGCTTTCAACAGGCTGGGAGAGGAAGGCTTTGTGTGCATTAAAGTGGGATTCTGCAGCGTAAATGTGGTTATGATGTGAGGTACAGCGACGGCAATTTCTCAGCTCCTCGAGTCTACAAATGCAACTTAGAAAATAACTATTATTCAGGCGTTTGTTGTACTTTTCGTGCGACTGAAAGGATATTCAACTGATATTTTGCAGCTGATGTTGATGAACATTCCCTGTGGGTGAGATGCTAACTGAAGGCACTGCTCTGTCTGAAGCTCTGCTACAATCACATTTTTGTTGACAGGATCAATAATGCTTCCACTGATCACAGGCTCTTTTTCTTGCATTTTCAGAAAATCTTAAAACTTTTTTTGGCAGTGTTTGCTAATGTTTCACCATGGTAAGTGATGTAGAACACCCCAAGTATCAATAGTACTGTCTTTAAATGTGCAATTTGTAACTTTACTGGTTTGATACTCAAAAATGCACTGAAAACACATGCATTTCTACTGTTAGTGGGGCTGTCTCTCCATAGATCTGACCTGCAACTTTGTCTGGTCTCACATCCTGCTTATCTCCATGGAGAATGATACGTTTAATGCCATACAGTGAATGATCTCCATGGTTACAAGCAAAAAAGTTCCTAGAGCACCTTCAGTAACACAAAACTATATCTGTGGCATATATAAAAAACCTACTGTAATAAAGTTCATTGCATTTACCATGTTATTTAGGTCACAGGCTGTATAATATGTAGTTGTTAGATAGTGCACGTTCTATAACCTCTTATGCAAACAGACCTGTCGCCTCAGTGATGTCTTCACTGTGTAATCAGAAGTCACAAAGGCTGTTATTTTCACTACATCTCATAACTCCATAATGTGTTCCAATGCCATTTACCGCCAAGGCGAAGAAGACGAAATGCTTGCGACTAAATAGCTGAAAAATACAGCCCCTCGGAAAACATGACATTATTTATTGAGGCCACATTATGGGTGTAAAAGTCTGGGTTATTGCTGAAAGAGGGGTTATTGCTTGTTATTATGATGAAAGCGGCAGATGTGGAAGGCAGTGAAATGGAAAAGAAGAAAAAAAATATATCCATCTACTTCAAATTCTGCTCCAGTCGTTTCAAACCGCGGACCATTGTGCCATAACCCAGCATCAGCAAGACCAAAATGTCGCCATCTTTCTCTCTTTCTCTTTCTCTCTCTATTCTCCGATTCTCAGCAAATATTTTCACAGCTCCGTTAGCGGGTCCCGTCCACTTGTGTAAAATGTGCTTGTTGTGGTAGAAATGTGATCGTGCACAAAGCGTTCAACTGCGAGGACAATGTTCTACAGCCATCCAAGACGTACAGTGTCTATTTTATGGGAATATGAGAATAGCCCTTTCGCAGTGAGAATGATACACTGACACATATCACTTGAGGCAAAAAACCCTGCTGTCTACATTGCAAAAAGTAATATTTGGCAAGATAAATTGAAGTAAATTAACAACTTTTGACAACAATTGTGTGTGTTTTTTTTTCTAGATTTAAGCAACATAAGATTTTACTTCTTATTTTGACTGCAAAGATTTGTTGTTTTTCTTATCTTATGTAAAACCAGATGTATTTCATTATTTCAAGTACAAAAAACCTGTTCCATTGGTAGATAATTTTACTTACCTATTGAAATGTAATCAAATCTAGGGCTGGGAATCATTAAAAAGTTGCTGATACGATACAACATAATTCGATACAGTGCAGTTTCAGTTCGATATGATATATTTCAAACTGATTCGATACGGTTCAATAAAAAATAATGGCAAAATGATGGCTGTG